GACCAAGCGCCGGACCTGCTTCTCAGCTGCTGCACCTCCCCTCTGGAACGCCCCCCCATCCAAATCCACCAGGCTCCCCCCGCATCATCATTCAAACAAGCCCCCAAAACCCACCTCTTCAAACGCAAATGCAAAACCCAACATGACTCATCCTCCAGTTTTCTCCAGTTCTATTTCTTTTCATTTCTTTTGTTTTTTATTGTTTCTGTCTATTTCTCTTATCTGTATGTTTCCCTTACTTAGATTTACATTGTAAAACGTCTTTGGGTACCAAGAAAAGCACTATAAAAAAAGAAAGTATTAATATTATATTTACCGACTGGATCGCTGTACTCTGTGTAGTAAACTGGGTCTCCTCTTCCTCCTCTGCACCAGTAGACTCCTCCACCAGAGGGAGAGATGCTTCCTCTCTGGAGGAGAACATAAGCTCTTGGTTTCAGGGGTTCAGAGGTTTTCTCGTCTCTGTACCAGAAGTACTTCCATCCAGATGATGATGATGAGGATGATGAAGACCCCACAGAGCAGGTCAGGGTCAGACGTCCCTCTACAGGAGAGTATTTTCTCAGTTGGGCCTTTGGTTTTGCTGTTTTAATGTAGAACAAAGACAAAACAGTGTTATTATTGTGACTGTGAATTTGTCCATATATATATAATGGAGCAGAATGGAGCCTGTTATTGAAGCCGTTTGTTCTTAACCACCAAAATCACCCGTCAGTCAATCACGTGAGGGCGTCTCCCATAAACACGGTGGGGATTCCCCTGATTTCAATCTGACATGAAGACAGAGTTGCGTTGAGCGTCTGTCGCTGAGTTTCCTGTAACTCCGGGTTTTATTGTAATATGGCGTCACATTAATAACGTGATTTGTTACTTGGCCGCCGGTAGCAGCTTTGTTGGCTTCCCGCCTTCGGCAGCAGATGAATTCAGCCTGATCGGTGGGTTCGTCCCTTTCACGAGTCCCTGTCGTCCAAGTCTTGTCTATTTATTGATTGGACGTTGTCCTCTACCGCAGGGGACCGCTAGCGGGATTCGGGAGGAGCGCTGCTGTTTTGCCTCACGTCAATCGGTCCCACCTGAACACGGACTACCGTCGATTGGTGCCGTTCTTACCGACACCCGCCGCTGGTGCCGTGGACCGATGTCCCAGTGTTCTGTTCAAAGAGACGGCCCGTTTTAACCCTTTTACTGGGTCATCTGATGGTGACGTCAGGACCCCCTCTGGCATCAGGGCTCGTGTGAGGAGGTTATCCAGATAACTTATTATGAACTTATTATTAACGTAGTATTAACGTTATTTATGAACGTATTAATGAACCTCATTATTAACTTATTATTAACGTATCATTAACTTATTATTAACTTATTATGAACGTATTATTAACATATTATTAACGTATTATTAACGTTATCTTTATTTGTGTGGTGTTTCCCCGCTGAGACACAGTGTGAGTTGTTGGGTAACTGTCTGCTTCATGTTCGTAGGTGCTGTAAACGTCCAGGTGGTGGCGCTGGTGTCCTCGGGTGTGGGTTCCCCTTTTTGTGTGCTGTGTCTTTTGGGAAACTCTGTGCTTGGATCCTTCACGTGTGTGAGCGCAAATCTAAAATTTTAAATATGTTTTCATTCATTGAAATATAAATGCTGACATACCTGATGTTTTTAATGTGAAAGCATCACTCCATTCTGTTGTAGAGGCTCCATCTTTCAGTCTGCCCTTACAGCTGTAGTCTCCTGTGACTGATGATGTCATCATGGAACCTCTTGGGTTTGGAGGTGTGTAATAGTCGGGTGTTCTCCATTCATACTCCCACTCAGAGCCTCCTCCCTCCTCTATTCCACATGTGAGAGTGATCGTCTCTCCAGAGTAAATCTCAGGCCAGTTGGGCTTCACAACAGCTCTGTTTGTGACTGTTCATCATCATCAGGCCCCAAATAGAAAAGTTACACAAACAGAGTTTTAGTGTGAGTCTTAATCCTTATTCACAAATACTTTTTCTACATGTTTTGTTTCACATCAACTATCAGTTTAGTTCTTTACCGACTGGATGGCTGTACTCTGTGTAGTAAACTGGGGCTCCTCTTCCTCCTCTGCACCAGTAGACTCCTCCAGCAGAGGGAGAGAAGCTTCCACTCTGGAGGAGAACATCATCTCCTGTTTTCAGAGGTTCAGAGGTTTTGTCGTCTTTGTACCAGAAGTACTTCCATCCAGATGATGATGATGATGATGGTGATGATGATGAAGACCCCACAGAGCAGGTCAGGGTCACACTTCCCCATACAGAGTCTTTTCTCAGTTGGGCCTTTGGTTTTGCTGTTTTAATGTAGAACAAAGACAAAACAGTGTTATTATTGTGACTGAATTTGTCCTCAGAGGCGCCGCAACGGAATCAGGTAACCAAGTCAACTGCCTCGGGCCCCGAGCTGAAGGGGGCCCCGAGGGACGGCTGACGTCAATGACAAAATAATGGAACTGCTTTAGACGCTGCAACGACAGCATATCGGAAACCCCCCTCGCAGGGCCCTTTACGTCACTGGCTAGCTGCTAGTAGGGGACCCCGACAGACGGCTGATATCGCTCCATACCAGCGACACAACCTGAAACCCCGGCAGACACCGCAACGACACGTCGGGAATCCCCCTAATGGGGCCCCTTACTAGCCGGCATGGACGTGCGGTCCCGGTCAAACACACAGATGAAACAATGAGGCGAACACGTCTCTCTGTGCACACGACAAGACAAAAAACCAGAGGGTGAAGAGAGAAAACGCGACAGTGGGAATGTGGAAGCTACGTGTGTTACATTATGAACAAGTAGTGCTGCCAGCCAGCCTGCCACTTTATCCCAAACTCCCAGTCATCCACCAGCCACCAAACAGGTTTACTGCACATTGAAAACATTTGTAACAGATGAGCTTCATACGAACACTGATCACAAATACAGGCTGCACATCAGATGAAACAGCAGAACCCACAAGAACACAGAAGCCAAACTCCAAACACCAACCAAATGAACGAGCAAATGTCACAATCCATGTCGCACAATGTGGTCAACTGATTGGCGCGTTTTGGTGGCTAACGCTACGTAGCATTATGCTACACGATGAAACAAAGCAAACACTCTGTAAAGTGAATTCAGACATTTTCTTCTAAACACATTCACAGCCACACGATACATTTTAAGTAAAAAATGCACAACTATTGGACTGTGGATATGGACCAAGGTGTCATAGCAAGTCTTAAGTTCTTCCTTTCCACTTCAATTCCTCGTTTGTTTTTGCTTAGTTGCGTTTTTATCATTCTGAAAATTTTGCACATTTCAGTTATGTTTGTTTTTCTGTTATTTATATGTTGTGTGTAAAGTTTGCATTCAGATTGTTATGTTATTTATTTTATATGTTACTTGTTTAATAAAAGCTTTCTTTACTGATCCGTAGTCCTGGACTTCATTTATCATGATTCTGGGGCCCCGTGGTCCTTCTTGCCTGAGGCCCCCAGAGGGTCTAGAAACGCTCCTGGATGTGAGTGAGGTTTAATCTTCAGGTGCAATTCCTGAGGTGCAAGAACCTGACAACTCCAATTACATCGTGGTCTAAATTCTATCCATGTAAATCTCTACGATTGCCACATATATCATAAAATAATCAAACTAAAATGTTAAATATGTTTTCATTCATTTAAATATAAATACTGACATACCTGATGTTCTTACTGTGAAAGCATCACTCCATTCTGTTGTAGAGGCTCCATCTTTCAGTCTGCCCTTACAGCTGTAGTCTCCTCTGACTGATGATGTCATCACGGAGCCTCTTAGGTTTGGAGGTGTGTAATAGTCGGGTGTTCTCCATTCATACTCCCACTCAGAGCCTCCTCCCCCCTCTATTCCACATGTGAGAGTGATCGTCTCTCCAGAGTAAATCTCAGGCCAGTCGTGTTGCAGAGTCACAACAGCTCTATTTGTGACTGTTCATCATCATCAGGCCCCAAATAGAAAAGTTACACAAACAGAGTTTTAGTGTGAGTCTTAATCCTTATTCACAAATACTTTTTCTACATGTTTTGTTTCTCATCAACTATCAGTTTAGTTCTTTACCGACTGGATGGCTGTACTCTGTGTAGTAAACTGGGTATTTAGGAAATTAGAGGACAATTTAGACGTAACCCTTTTTTTTACTTCTTTAACTTTCGAAAAAAGGATAATTTAGAGGATTCATCACACTGACGATGTTAAATACCTGCAGCTCTTTAATATGAAAGCTTCATAGTTTCTATTTTTACTTTAAGTTAAAGGATCACATCTTTGTCTGTGTCACAGCTACGTCTTTGCTTTACTCAACTTGCTTTGAATCAGCTTCATTAAATGAACAATGATACCAAGATATCAGTGATTCATGTTTTCAACCTAATTATAATTCAACATAGAGTTGTAGACAGAAGAAGATGTCAAAGTCAGTCACTGTAAGAAATAATAAAAGGTTCACTAAGTAATGAGAACATTTTACCTGAAGGAGGCGCCACACTCTGCTCAGTTTGATCTGTTTGTGTTATGAATTAGTGATTGATTAATTATTGATGATTTGTAAATATGGATTAAATATTGGATGGTTTGTCTTATAATGGTAATGTTCTCTTCATAATCAGTCCTTCTTTCTTTGTCTTATTTTAAATGATCAATATTATCTGATAATTGATCCTTTTAAACAAAGATCAGCTGACTAAACAGCATCAGTGTTTTTATTTATTAATTCTCACTACATTATATCACATTAGCACTTTATCGAACAGGTTTATTAAATCAACACATCTCATTAACATAAAAGTGATCAATATGCAGCGAAGCATCTAGAAACAAACACAACATGCAAAGAATGAATTGTGTTTTCTTACTCGTATTCATCATAAATGAACTAAACAGAACAGAGATATTAAATGTAAACAGTGATAGAAGGTGTTGAATCGTCTTGAGTGAATTTATCAAGTAAAGAAAGTTGTATAAAAACCTTGAGCGTGTCCACAGTAGAGGAGAATATTCAGCACTAAAATAAAGTGAGAAACATCATCACGCATCATCAAACTGACAGAAACTATTAACTTCTGCCATTTAAAAAGTTGTATCTATGAAAACTATGATTTTAAGAGAGAAAGTACTCACAGAAAAGCCCCAACACACCAAACAAAGCGCGTCCCATCCTCACGTCCACGCTGACACTTTGCTTCTGAGAAACGCTTCGTGTCTGCAGACGGTTTCAAACGTGTGAAACATGAAGAGAAATGTGGAAATGCAGAGACAACATATGAATATTAGACGAGAGGTTTTCTCTAACTTACGTTTATGGTCCGTGCTTCCTTCCCTTTTGACCCACCAGACGCTGTTAAACACGTCACATTTTAATGCTTATAGGACATAAGACCAGTTCCAGTAGTCTGATTAATGCAGATATATTTAATGTCCTTTCTTCATACACGGTCATAAGCTAAAGGTTTCTGTAAAGGCAGCTGCAGGAAGTCAAAGGTCTCCCCTGTAATATTAATACACTTAATAATCCATAAATGATCCTTCTCACCAAACTGGGACGATTTCACAATAAAATCCACAAACAACTTGTAAATGTCGTCCCTTCATGGTGAGATTCTGGTGTCTCGATGTCTCGTCTCCTACAGGAAGTGACTGTGCTCGAACAGGACACGAAGAGACAGGCGGAAGAGGACGTGAAGAGAGACGAAAACCTCTCCATGCTCCTCGCCTCCTAATACTATATTATATATTATATATATATATATATATATATATATATTAATATTATAGATGTGTGATGTAGTTGCACTGTACACGTTTGTGATATTTTGTTAATATCTGAAAAAAGGAAAGAAAATATTTTTATCACATTAAAATGAATTGTTCAAACTCTGCTAACTTCTATATTCTTTATTCTACAGAAGCACTTTTAGTTTGAAGTACATTCAGAGAGCCAGAGAAAGGTGTTTCATGTTTCACAATGACTGATATAAAACACCCTGTGAGGAAGAAGTGAATCACTGAAGCAGATTCAGAGGCTGAAACAGACCAAACTAAATCCACCAACGTTTAATTAGACTTAAATGTAGAAAGTGAGCCGTTTTATTTGATCAACCTTAAGGTTCCTTTTTGTGCATCAAAGCCACATTCAACTCTACCAGCAAACACCGCAGCAGGAGGAAGTGATGCATTCTGGGACGCCTCTTTCACCACAAGTGGACCGTTGCCTCAGACGTGTGAATTAAAGTCAAATAACAGTTTGTTTTCGGTCTTTTTGAGTGTTTTTTTTTGTATTTTTAAATCAAAAACCAAACTTTGTCCAACTATACAATTAGAGAAGAAATGAATTGGCAGCAAAACGTTTAACACTTGAAAAGAGGAAACAGTTCAGTCTCTTCACAGGCCTGTGGTCAGTATTGTAGAAGCCGCAATCGCATAAGACAAAAATAGAGAAGGAGCAGAAGAGAATTTCCACGAACTCTTTAGTTCCTCATCTGCAGCAGCATGTTGAGACAAATGAGACAAAACCATTCAGTTTAATACATATATGTGAGGTATATAAATATATTATTATAACCAAATGGTGCAACATACAAAAGCAATCAGTCACATAGAAACACTTTATAAACCTGGTGACACTTGGTGGTCGGATGATGTCACTACTTGAGGAGACTCTTCACTACAGACTCACAACCTCCAGTTCAACGTGATTCACACATAAACCACCTTCTAATCAATCCGTATGAATATGAATCAAAAGTTCACATTTCAACTAATTGAATCATGTTTGTTCTGGTAGTCGTGACATTGACATATTTAATCAGCAGTGACTTCAATTTTTGGATTTTATGCTCAAACATCTCACGTCTAAATGTTTTTACAAATGAATCGGTTCTTGTGAGACTGATTTAAAAAATAAAAAGGTCAAATACATTTGTGTTCTAAGTCTCAGGAGAAGAAGCACAAGGCTTCTCAGAATCAGTCAAACCGTTCCTGTTCCCCTTCATACACAAGATGTGTTGCTACTGGTTACGTGGTGTCACATGACCACATTCACACCACAGCTGATCCGCTTGTACAGAGGTGTCGTACTCTGTGATGTATGATAACGTTTTAATTCTAAGAAGTAGAAGTTAAGTTTAATAACCTGCAAAAACAAGTCATTGTGACATTGATGCAACAGTGCACGTGAACCTTGAGTGGACGGGGAGGGCCACAGGTTTTTTTTACAATGTGTCTCCCGGGTCTCCTGGACATGGCCCCCTGGGACAGAACCACAGCGGGCCGAGTCCCGGACTAAAGGAGGACTCGCAGGTGCAGGTTGTGGCACTCTTACGCCCCCTTGTGGTCCTCTGAGGACATTTCAGATTCAGCTGCTCGTGTTCTCCAGGTTCAGGTGGAAGAAGGACGTCCGTATCCTCATTCTGTTCATCTCTCCGGCTCCTCAAAGCTTCTATTGGGGGGATCTGGACCTTTTGGGCGCCTGCAACACACTGTACAAAGAGTTGATGTGGTCTTCCTCGCCCGGGGGAGCACCCTGTGAGCCCGACGCCTCTTCCTCCCCTAACTATACAGATAAAAGTATTTGCCCCCTGCTGGTACCACAGTGAACTGAATAAACACGTTTTTTGGAAAGCTGGAAAACAAGTAGATTTGGATATTTTTCTAAAAATTAAATTACCATTTAAAAATGCTTTTCAGGTTCTCTTTTTTCGGATTAAAATGAGTTTGTTATGAAATATTTAGTGACACAAAAAAAAACAGGGTAAACACTTTTTCAAGTCACTGTATATATAAATCCTGCTCTAATAATACAAATCATCACGTAAATCTTACACATCGCCTCCGTGCTTTCAGACACATTGCTCGCGCTGACGTGGTTTTTGCCCCCGCAGACGACGGACGTGTTGTCAGTGAAAATGTTGATGATGATGATGACCTTCCTGTTTGACCTCTGGGAGGTCGTGCAACTCGCCACGTCACAGACCGACCACGCCCACTCCTCCCCGACGGAGCAGTTGATCCTCATGACAGGTGTGGGGACAGTTTCTGCAACAGATACATCAGATGCATTTCGACTGCCTGCTGGCGCCCTCTAGTGGCAACTTGTAGAAACTACACGGCTCTCATAAAAAACTTGGCAGAGAAACCAGTGAGAAGAGAGTTTTTAACCCTTTTTCAACGCGTTAAGAACTATTGAAGCCCATTTTCGTCACAAAAAAAATGAAGGGTTGGAAAGTCGAAATTATGACTTCATATGCGCATGCGCAGGCTGCTTCATAGTTTGCTACAGTAACTTTACAGATTCTGCAACAGATACATTAGATGCATTTGGGCTGCCTGATCCTCCCCTCTAGTGACGACTAATAGAAGCTACACGGCTCTCATTAAACGCATTAGGAACTCGGGCCCGTGCACAGACATTTTGGGGCAGGTACTCAAAACAAAACAAAAGGACACCCGTCGCCAAAATTATTCTTATATATTTGCAGGGCTATAGTGGAGGGTAAACGCAGGTAAATGCCGTTTACGCACCTCTGGAATTTTGGAAATAGCGTTTACGCACCTCTGAATAGCGTTTACCCACCTCTAAGTGGCGTTTACGCACCTCAAAGTTCCCTGCGCCTTGTATTCTTCCGTTGGAATAATCCGAAATAAACTTGGTGTAATTTTAAAACAGCTAAGACTACGTTTCCTATTGTTGAACATATAAACGCCGTAGTCTGAATCATGTTCATCTGCGCTGTATTACGGTCTGTGACCATCCAATCAGTGCCTTGCGGCTGCAGCAGCGACACCAATCAGGATCCAGGAGGTGTGTAAACATACACGTTGTGGATCAGCCTGCCTGCCTACCTGTTCGGAATGTGTAATATTCGTGTGCGTGCACTGACATTTAACTGTCTAAGTACGACACGTACCAGTGAGTTTCTTTTAGTCGGCGCTGTATGCGTCCATCTTTATTAGTGCATATTTACTTCTGCGCATAAACGCGCACCTTGATGACCTCATCACAACATGACAGACATTTGAACCGGAAGTATCCAAGATACTACAGAATGGATTACCGCCGGCAATTAGCAATGGATATCAGGCGATATTTGAAGAGACCATCGAGTGCTCCCACTCCCACAGAGGCCCGCAAAAGGCCTCAAGTACAAAGTAAGACTTTGTGTTGCGTTGCTTCGCGTCGCACCGCGTCGAGGTCTGTATGATCACAAAATTCAGAGTTTACCCACCTCTAATTTTACCACTACAGCACTGCCTGTGGCGGTTTGATGGATCGGAGCTGGCGAGGGGCGCGCGGTGTTCATGACACGCTGACGATGCGGCGCGAGACAACAACCGCGGGGGTCACGTGACCACACCGGGATCCGCAGGGGGCCGTGGCCCGGAACACGGTGGGGAACGGAGGGAGCCGAAGGCGAGATACCAGCGATGCTTCCGGATTCTATCGGTCGACGAGTGCGGGACACCGAACCACGGACATTTCCTTCTTACCGGAGACGTTGACCGGTAGGGGGACACGCGATGGGGCGGCCCCTGCTCTGATTGTGTGTGTTTTATTTAGTAATTGAATTGTCGTGCTGAAGGTTTACTATGAATTACTGTGTTATTTAAGGTGCTATAGAGTTCCATGCGTACCATGAATTGTGCACTTTGGGTTGTTGTGTTGTTGGAGTGGTTCTACATGTTTGAGGGTCCGGGCCAAACCAATAATATGTCCCCTGCCTAGAGGTCAATGCTTCCCTTATAAAATGTTACCATTATAAAAGTATTTATCAAATCCTTCAGTCTGGTGATTGTGCTCCTCGAAGATCTGAACCTTTTTATTTATTTATTTTTTTAATGCAGTAGCTTCCCTAAAGGGAGTTAGTTTTCTACATTACATGTATTTTAGCTGACGCTTTTATCCAAAGCTATAGATAACTTATAAGTACAATTTACGTGCTACAATCTTTTAGTCGAAGTAGAGGACAGCAAAGAGTCGTGATCTAGTCGAGTGTTTTGCTCTCAGTGAGGGAGGAACGAGCAGTTTATCAGATGCAGAGCGGAGAGTGCGGGTCGGGATGTCGGGTCACAACTTGGTACCTGAAGCGACTTTACTCAAAGTGTGAAAGCCTCAGAAGCGTTTCTCAGAAGCAGAGTGTCAGCGTGGACGTGAGGATGGGACGCACTTTGTTTGGTGTGTTGGGGCTTTTCTGTGAGTACTTTCTCTCTTTAAATCATAGTTTTCATAGATCACAACTTTTTTTTTTAAGCCAGAAGTTAATAGTTTCTGTCAGTTTGATAAACGATGTTTCTCACTTTATTTTAGCGCTGAATATTTTCCTCTACTGTGGACACGCTCAATGTTTTTATACATTTCTTTATTTGCTAAATTCACTCAAGACGATTCAACACCTCTCACTATTTTATTTGTATTATTACATACATGGCATCACAATTGTATTGCTTTGAAAAACATGTGCCTAGAGTTCATATATTAAAAGACATCAAATTATTTTCATTGACGAAGAGAAAGTATACAAAAATATAAATGTATGTAAAAGGTCATTTCAGATGTGGCTGCTTGTGATAAGAAGACGTCATTCTCAACATGCTCACTAGGGGGCAGCATCAATAACAAGAGCTGCTCTTAGTTGCACTTCAGAATAAACCGTTTTTTCTGTTGCAGCAGGAGATGTTTAGAAATATTGTTCATTGATCACATCAGTGTTTCTCAAACTGTGGGGCGCGACCCTCTAGTGGGTCGCAGTGGTTTTACAGGAGGGTCACATGGGGGAATTTTTTTAATCAGAGTAAATGTGGAAGGCAACAAAGTCACTTCCTGTACTTCAGTAAGTATTAAAGGGTTGTTTGATATTGTTCTAATATCTAAAATGATTTTAAGGGTTCAGCTGTTCAGCCCATGAAGTGATTAATACACTTAAAGAGACGTCACAAAGAGAGCTTTGCTTATGTTGCATGTTTTTACATTAAAGCAATATACTGACATTTTTAAACTTTTTTTTTTCTGACCCCAAAAGCATGAAAATGCTTTAAAATAAAACATTATAAAAACACTTGCACTGCATTATTTTAACATGGAGAATAAGCTGTTAAAGACGCTGCTGAAAGCATATTAAAGGAATAATAAGTTTCATACACTTAATGGTTAAAAAACACTTAAAAATAAAACAAGATTAAAGATTTAGTTGAAACAATCTGCTAATTAACTGTTCCCAAATACTTTCTGCTATTCGGAGCACAAAGGTTAAAGAGATTGTTTTTCTCGTTGGTCGGTTTTGTCCACACGGATGTCTTTATTGATCTGGAAGAACCAAAGAGAAAAAACAATAGCGGTTATTTATATTCAGCTTGAAGGTGCTTTATGACGTTTAACTATGTGAAATAAACTGCTTTATAAATGGCTTCATCACCTCGAGATGTTCCTGGTTTGACTTCAGAATAAACAGCTTCCTCTGCTGCTGCAAATTTGGATTTTCCTATAAATGAAAAGATTTAATGTATGTTTGCAAGTAGTTAGTTTAAAATAATAATGTATACGTTGTCCTGACTATTGTAAAACAATTAACACAAAATAAGAGTGCATCATTAATCAGAATAGTTTATAGTAATAAATGAAGGAGGAATAGACAGAAATTATTCTAAAAATAACAAACTACCATTTTCTAACTTTTAAAAGATGTTGTTTTGTTTTGGATGGAGACAGAAGTCACTTCACAAGGAGTCGATACCTGATGTGGACTTTACTTACCTTCATTCCTCTTCTTCTTAGTGGGGCGGTGAACCTGGGCATACGTCACGTCATCTAAAGACAAAAGACCACCATTTCAGTTGAATATCGATGGATTGATGAATATAGATGAATGAAATGTGGGATCCAATTATGTCTGTTTCATGACTGCATAGTAAGTTAATACTAATTTAAATGACAACTTTAAAAAGTCTAACGTCTGTTATGTGCTTGTATGTAGGATGTGTACATTGCTGATTTCGGCACGTTGGATGACAGCATGAACGTGTTGAACTAGAGCAGGTAGCACCTGTTAAACAGCAGGAAGCTCTGCTGGCGTTGACTGTACCTGCAGCTGATGTCGTCCTCACATCCGAGTAAACGGGGCTCTCGTCTGGTTCATCGTGCTTCTCTGTCACAAAGACCACACGAAGAACTTTGCTGAGAAGAACAAATCATCTCAACTCTCAAAGGTAATTCTCACTGTAAAGTAAATCACCTACCCTTCTTTTTAAAGTGTTTGAGCTCAATCATAGAATATGTGAGGCTGGATTCATCTGAAATAAGAATTTATTGTTTTTAATTCAAGACAGTTTGCATTGACTTTGAATCATCTGATTCTAGTATTTAACAGCTGTGATGAACACAGGATTTACTGCACCTTGTTCAGGTTCTTCAGAGCCTCCGATTGTTTCATAGAGACAAGAATCACCTGCAGAGCAGTGAGGATAAAGACGAGGTCATTCAATCATTTCAACCAGAAATGCAAATGTTAGCTTTAAAGTAAAGAACTAATTATTAATGTAATAAGTCCGCCTGGAGTTTCACCCTGGTTGATCATGTGGTCTGTAGCTGGGCTCTGATTGGTCCTCTGAGACCTTGTGGGTCCAAAACATGAAGTAAATACAGAGGATTGAATGAGGAATATGTAAAGTCCTGCTGCCGTGTTCAGAGGGAGAGAAGAGAGGCTTGTACCAACCTGCTGATGCTTGAAGCTGCAAGAAAAAGGTTTCACATTGTTAATTGAGTGTGTGTAATAATATGTGTGACTTTGACTTATTTCAGTGTAATCAGTCTGATATCAGAAGGAAAAGATCTCACCTTTTGACTTTCTGTAGCGACGCAGAATCAGCAGCAGGAGAATAATCAGTAAAACTCCAGAAACCAGACCAACCACCAACAGCAGGAGAAACACAGAGCTTGATGCTGCTTCTTCAGGATCTACACACAAGTACACACCAACCATGAAGAGATACACAAGTACTACAACACACACACTCAAATACACTCACATGAACCTTTGATCACACAACATTCACCTTTCACTGCTGCTCATGTTAGTTTCATTTGTGTCTTTAAACACTAAAATGTATAAAACTATATTGTCTCACACAAACAATTTTTAATTCAGTTACACCTTTTGTAACTCAGACTGTAACACATATTACAAAGAAAACATCTTCTACTCGTACTCACGTTCCACTGACAACCAGCTCTCTGCTGAGGTCAAAGTCTCCAAACCTGGAGGTGATTTCCTTCCTCTACATTTATAAAAGCCTTCATCTGACTTAGTAACTGCAGAGATAAACAGCTCCCCTCCGACACCATTTGGGAGGAGTTGGTCATTTTTATAGAAATCCACATTATCAAGAAGTTCTTTTGTCCTCAACATGCAGCCAAGAGTGACCGAATGTCCCTCAGTCACAGGATGGACAGGACTCACCAGGATGACATCACCACCTGTAAAGAGACCAGAGGACAGGAAGTCAAACAAGCTGATGTCCAATGAAGGGAAGACATTTATAGTTTACATTTGTTGTCCACATTCACACAGTAGCTGAGCGAATAGCTGCATTTCATGGATGGAAGAGACGGCCCTTTGGTGACGTACATGCTCACAGTTACAGAGAAATGATACTGAAACAAACTAAATATTGAGTTAAAGTCCTTATAACGTCACCTTAAAATGTCAGCACTCTACAATAAGATGTGTAAATACTTTAAATGTCAAAACTCTGTCAAAAAATGTTTTTTACTTATTAATCGCAAATCATTAATCTCGATTAATGGCGATTAATGAATGTTTTTGTTGTTACAATGTTGTTTATATTGAATGTTTGTTTTTGTTATAAAGACTACAACTTAAAAGTAATGAGTAATCACTTGAGAAAGTGTGTATTTTAGACACTGTTGTTTAATTGTTAAGATTATTTTAAACACAAAACCACACAGAGGGAGAATTCCACCAGGTGGAACATGTTGAACTAAAGACTCTTCCTGCTGTCCTCGTGCACTTTGCTCTCAACTCTCCATCATTTAACGGCTTATAAAGTCACCTTAAAATGTCAGCACTCTATAATAAGATGTGTAACTACTTTAGATGTAAAACGTTTAAATGAATATAAACTCACTGTGTGTAGTGATGTTGGCTGCATTGCTGGACTGTGTTGCAGACTCACACCAGTACACTCCACTACTCGCTCTAGTGGTGTTGCATGTGGATCCAGTCATTTGTCCCCAGTAAGAACAGGATGACATGAAGCCAGATTCATCAGCCTTCATCACTCTCCACTCAGTAGAGTTTCCCTCACAGCTCAGTGACAGTGACTCTGTGCTGAAGTGCTGCAGTCTGTGAGGACTCACTGTGAGAGACGCTGCTGGATTCACACCTGAAGACACGTCATTAGGAGACACACAGAGGACAAACTATGTCAACACAAACAGGACATTTATTCTCTTGTGCAAGAATATAAAAGTGTGAACAAACTCACCTCCAGACCAGACAAACTTCACATCACTGTACAGAGTGTAAAACACAGGATCTCCTCTTCCAGCTCTGCACACATATCCTGCTGTGTGTGTCTGTCCATGAAGAATGTAGGAATCCTGTTCAGTCCCAGTGGTGTTACCAGCTAGAAGCTCATAGGTGTAGTTGAGTGACAGTTCTGGAACAGCCTGATACCAGAAGAACCTCCATCCTGCAGACGGAGGTTCAACACTGCAGGTCAGAGTCACTGAGTCTCCAGGACTCGTCCATGATGGAGACACTGTGAGGACAGGCTGAGGGACATCTGTTGGAAAGAGATTTCACAGAATAAAGACATGTTGTGATGAGTCCTTGGTGGATTACTTTTACTGCTGATGTCCTCCATCTTTCACTTCAACTGTGTAAACAGGTGTGATGGTAAATTGTCTTTAAATAAATTAACCAATTAAACAACTCAAATATTCTGTCTAAAATACAGGATAGACTTCAACATATTACTCATCACCCACAAACCCCTGAACCACGTGGCCCCTCCCTTCCTCTCAGACCTCCTCCCCTCCTCGCCCGACCCGTCGCCTCAGGTCCGCCAATGCCAACACCCTGAAGACCATCAGGACCAAGCGCCGGACCTGCTTCTCAGCTGCTGCACCTCCGATCTGGAACGCCCCCCCATCCAAATCCACCAGGCTCCCCCCGCATCATCATTCAAACAAGCCCCCAAAACCCACCTCTTCAAACTGAAATGCAAAACCCAACATGACTCATCCTCCAGTTTTCTCCAGTTCTATTTCTTTTCATTTCTTTTGTTTTTTATTGTTTCTGTCTATTTCTCTTATCTGTATGTTTCCCTTACTTAGATTTACATTGTAAAGCGTCTTTGGGTACCAAGAAAAGCACTAAAAAAAGAAAGTATTAATATTATTATTATATTTACCGACTGGATGGCTGTACTCTGTGTAGTAAACTGGGTCTCCTCTTCCTCCTCTGCACCAGTAGACTCCTCCACCAGAGGGAGAGATGCTTCCACTCTGGAGGAGAACATCAGCTCTTGTTTTCAGAGGTGCAGAGTATTTTTTGTGTTTGTACCAGAAGTACTTCCATCCAGATGATGGTGATGATGATGATGATGACCCCACAGAGCAGGTCAGGGTTACACGTCCCTCTACAGAGTCTTTGCTCAGTTGGGCCTTTGGTTTTGCTGTTTCAATGTAGAACAAAGAAAGAACAATTAAATTATTGTCAGTTCGTCCATATACATATTTATATAATAACCAGACTAAAATTTTAAATATTTGTCATTAATCAAAATATAAATACTGACTTACCTGATGTTTTACTGTGAAAGCATCACTCCATTCTGTAGAGCCTCCATCTTTCAGTCTGCCCTTACAGCTGTAGTCTCCTCTGACTGATGATGTCATCATGGAGCCTCTTGGGTTTGGAGGTGTGTAATAGCCGGGTGTTCTCCATTCATACTCCCACTCAGAGCCTCCTCCCTCCTCTATTCCACATGTGAGAGTGATCGTCTCTCCAGAGTAAATCTCAGGCCAGTTGGGCTTCACAACAGCTCTGTTTGTGACTGTTCATCATCATCAGGCCCCAAATAGAAAAGTTACACAAACAGAGTTTTAGTGTGAGTCTTAATCCTTATTCACAAATACTTTTTCTACATGTTTTGTTTCACATCAACTATCAGTTTAGTTCTTTACCGACTGGATGGCTGTACTCTGTGTAGTAAACTGGGTCTCCTCTTCCTCCTCTGCACCAGTAGACTCCTCCACCAGAGGGAGAGATGCTTCCACTCTGGAGAACGTATTGTCTTGGTTTCAGAGGTTTAGACGTTGTCTCGTCTCTGTACCAGAAGTACTTCCATCCAGATGATGATGATGATGAAGACCCCACAGAGCAGGTCAGGGTCACACGTCCCTCTACAGAGTCTTTGCTCAGTTGGGCCTTTGGTTTTTCTGTTTTAATGTAGAACAAAGACAAAACAGTGTTATTATTGTGACTGTGAATTTGTCCATATATATATAATGTAGCAGAATGGAGCCTGTTATTGAAGCCGTTTGTTCTTAACTACCAAAATCACCCGTCAGTCAATCACGTGAGGGCGTCTCCCATAAATACGGTGGGGATTCCCCTGATTTCAATCTGACATAAAGACAGAGTTGCGTTGAGCGTCTGTCGCTGAGTTTCCTGTAACTCCGGGTTTTATTGTAATATGGCGTCACATTAATAACGTGATTTGTTACTTGGCCGCCGGTAGCAGCTTTGTTGGCTTCCCGCCTTCGGCAGCAGATGAATTCAGCCTGATCGGTGGGTTCGTCCCTTTCACGAGTCCCTGTCGTCCAAGTCTTGTCTATTTATTGATTGGACGTTGTCCTCTACCGCAGGGGACCGCTAGCGGGATTCGGGAGGAGCGCTGCTGTTTTGCCTCACGTCAATCGGTCCCACCTGAACACGGACTACCGTCGATTGGTGCCGTTCTTACCGACACCCGCCGCTGGTGCCGTGGACCGATGTCCCAGTGTTCTGTTCAAAGAGACGGCCCGTTTTAACTCTTTTACTGGGTCATCTGACGGTGACGTCAGGACCCCCTCTGGCATCAGGGCTCGTGTGAGGAGGTTATCCAGATAACTTATTATTAACTTATTATTAACTTATTATTCACGTATTTTTAACGTATTATTAACATATTATAACTTATTATTAACGTATTATTAACTTATTATTAACGTATTATTAACTTATTATTAACGTATTATTAACGTATTATTAACATATTAACTTATTATTAACGTTATCTTTATTTGTGTGGTGTTTCCCCGCTGAGACACAGTGTGAGTTGTTGGGTAACTGTCTGCTTCATGTTCGTAGGTGCTGTAAACGTCCAGGTGGTGGCGCTGGTGTCCTCTGGTGTGGGTTCCCCTTTTTGTGTGCTGTGTCTTTTGGGAAACTCTGTGCTTGGATCCTTCACGTGTGTGCGCGCAAATCTAAAATGTTAAATATGTTTTCATTCATTGAAATATAAATACTGACATACCTGATGTTTTTACTGTGAAAGCATCACTCCATTCTGTTGTAGAGCCTCCATCTTTCAGTCTGCCCTTACAGCTGTAGTCTCCTCTGACTGATGATGTAATCACGGAGCCTCTTGGGTGTCGAGGTGTGTAATAGTCGGGTGTTCTCCATTCATACTCCCACTCAGAGCCTCCTCCCTCCTCTATTCCACATGTGAGAGTGATCGTCTCTCCAGAGTAAATCTCAGGCCAGTTGGGCTTCACAACAGCTCTGTTTGTGGCTGTTCATCATCATCAGGCCCCAAATAGAAAAGTTACACAAACAGAGTTTTAGTGTGAGTCTTAATCCTTATTCACAAATAATTTTTCTACATGTTTTGTTTCACATCAACTATCAGTTTAGTTCTTTACCGACTGGATGGCTGTACTCTGTGTAGTAAACTGGGGCTCCTCTTCCTCCTCCTCTTCCTCCTCTGCACCAGTAGACTCCTCCACCAGAGGGAGAGAAGCTTCCACTCTGGAGGAGAACATCATCTCTTGTTTTCAGAGGTTCAGAGGTTTTGTCGTCTTTGTACCAGAAGTACTTCCATCCAGATGATGATGATGAAGATGAAGACCCCACAGAGCAGGTCAGGGTCACACGTCCCCATACAGAGTCTTTTCTCAGTTGGGCCTTTGGTTTTTCTGCTTTAATGTAGAACAAAGACAAAACAATGTGATTATTGAGACTGAATTTGTCCTCGGAGGCGCCGCAACGAAATCAGGTAACCAAGTCATTTGCCTCGGACCCCGAGCTGAAGGGGGCCCCGAGGGACGGCTGACGTCAATGACAAAATAATGCAACGACAACGCATCGGAAACCCCCCTCGCAGGGCCCTTTACGTCACTGGCTAGCTGCTAGTAGGGGGCCCCGACAGGCGGCTGATATCGCTCCATACCAGCGACACAACCTGAAACCCCCGCAGACACCGCAACGACACGTCGGGAATCCCGCCTAATGGGGCCCCTTACTAGCCGGCATGGACGTGCGGTCCCGGTCAAACACACAGATGAAACAATGAAGCGAACACGTCTCTGTGCACACGACAAGACAAAAACAAGAGGGTGAAGAGAGAAAACGCGACAGTGGGAATGTGGAAGCTACGTGTGTTACATTATGAACAAGTAGTGCTGCCAGCCAGCCTGCCACTTTATCCCAAACTCCCAGTCATCCACCAGCCACCAAAACAAGTTCACTGCACATTGAAAACATTAGTAACAGATGAGCTTCATACGAACACTGATCACAAATACAGGCTGCACATCAGATGAAACAGCAGAACCCACAAGAACACAGAAGCCAAACTCCAAACACCAACCAAATGAACGAGCAAATGTCACAATCCATGTCGCACAATGTGGTCAACTGATTGGCGCGTTTTGGTGGCTAACGCTACGTAGCATTATGCTACACGATGAAACAAAGCAAACACTCTGTAAAGTGAATTCAGACATTTTCTTCTAAACACATTCAGAGCCACACGATACATTTTAAGTAAAAAAAGGCACAACTATTGGACTGTGGATATGGACCAAGGTGTCATAGCAAGTCTTAAGTTCTTCCTTTCCACTTCAATTCCTCGTTTGTTTTTTTGCTTAGTTGCGTTTTTATCATTCTGAAAATTTTGCACATTTCAGTTATGTTTGTTTTTCTGTTATTTATATGTTGTGTGTAAACTTTGCATTCAGATTGTTATGTTATTTATTTTATATGTTACTTGTTTAATAAAAGCTTTCTTTACTGATCCGTAGTCCTGGACTTCATTTATCATGATTCTGGGGCCCCGTGGTCCTTCTTGCCTGAGGCCCCCAGAGGGTCTAGAAACGCTCCTGGATGTGAGTGAGGTTTAAAAAAAGAGTTTGTATGAAATATTTAGTGACACAAAAAAACAGGGTAAACACTTTTTCAAGTCACTGTATATATAAATCCTGCTCTAATAATACAAATCATCACGTAAATCTTACACATTGCCTCCGTGCTTTCAGACACATTGCTCGCGCTGACGTGATTTTTTCCCCCGCAGACGACGGACGTGTTGTCAGTGAAAATGTTGATGATGGTGATGACCTTCCTGTTTGACCTCTGGGAGGTTCTGCAACCCATCACGTCACAGACAGACCACGCCCACTCCTCCCCGACGGAGCAGTTGATCCTCATGACAGGTCTGGGGACAGTTTCTACAACAGATACATTAGGTGCATTTGGGCTGCCTGCTGGCGCCCTCTAGTGGCGCCTAGTAGAAACTACACGGCTCTCATCAAAAACTTTGCAGAGAAACCAGTGAGAAGAGATTTTTTAACCCTTTTTCAACGCATTAAGAACTATTGAAGCCCATTTCCGCCACAAAAAAACGAAGGGTTCGAAAGTCCAAATTATGAGCTATAAAGTCCAAATTAGGACTAGATATGCGCATGCGCAGGCTGCTTCATAGTTCGCTACAGTAACTTTACAGTTTCTGCAACAGATACATTAGATGCATTTGGGCTGCCTGCTGGCGCCCTCTAGTGGCGACTAATAGAAGCTACACAACTCTCATAAAAAACGCATTAGGAACTCAGGCACGTGCACAGACATTTTGGGGGGCAGGTGCTCAAAACAAAACCCGTTGCCAAAATTATTCTACCTATATACTTATTTGTGTTAACAAACTCAAATTGAATAAATGAATACCAGGCAAAGACAAAACCAGGCCATATTGTACTGAAGCAATAAAAGGTACGAGAGGCTGTACTTTATCCTCAATAATGTTACAGTCCTTCACTTCGCTCATGACGTCCACTTCAATTGTCCTCTTTAGCTAAAAGCCCTAAAACGGCTACGAAAGCTCGCATTGCCCAAAACTTACTTGCTGCTTTTCTAATCGTTTCTATTCGTCACCGAGCTAAAAGCTGAATTGACAGCTAACAAATGCGCTGCTGTGGTTCCCTGACCTTCTGCTTTTAGTGTCTCTTTTCTTGGTATTATGCTGCCAATTTTGTAAATGAGATAAACAATGTTGTGCATAATAATTAAGAGTGACTTACCCAATCTCTACAGAGCTGACAACACACACACGTTAGAAGCATAAGCAGTGTTACGTTTCCACCTCAGGTGGAGCTCCTACGAGGTGGGGACCGCTTGCGCTTGCTTTGACACACAAGGCCTCTCTCCCTCCTTTCTCCTTTATCTCTGCAGCAACCAGGCTGGTTTATATAGGCAATCAGCTCGTTAGCCGATTGCTCTCCAGGTCTTCAGTGGCCACGCCTCCTCGCCAACAGCCAACCAGCACCGCACACCTGTGAACCGAGAAAGGGGCACTAATCCCCCCTCGGTCCCCCACTCACACAGTTAAAGGGGCAGAACAAAACATGGGGACATGTCACTAATAATATACCACAATACACCTCACCCGACTGTCGTTGAGCTCAGCTTAATTTCATTTTAAGAATTGAATTAAAATAAACAAAAACAGCGAACTTGTCTAATTTGTAGAACAGTAACACTGCCTTTAAATCCTCTGCCTGTCTGTCTGTATCTCGCTCTCCTTCATTAAACATGACAAACGTCAAGGACAAGGCTTCGACATCACGGATTTCGTTTTCCGTTTCTTCATTTTTTAGGGAAAACGTCAAACTAGTTGCGACGTAATGTTTTCATCGGCACTAATGACGTGGTTCATTTATCAGCAAACAAATAATTCCCCCGTCAGATATCAAAACACACGTCAGGGGAATTGATGACAGAGAGAGTCATTTATTTTAAATATTGATGAATGAAGAAAAAAATGGGCTCCAGTACAAGAGGCACTTTTCTCATCCAGGGCTAAAGGGCAGGTGATTGAGCACCACTAGGGGTCCATCTGTGCACGAGCCTGAGGAGGTCTGTGTACTGAACAATGTGACGCTTCCTCACAGCCTCTGATTCTCTCGTAGACACAAGCAGCACCTTCAGGTCACTGATGATTATGTCCAGCATTATGAAGCATTATGAAGCATTACGAAGCAGTGCCGTCAGTGGTCGAAGCGTTCAGGAAGTAGACCTGGGAGAGGAGAGGCGTGGACGTGCTCGTGGGCTTCAGGCTGCATGGACTCACACCAGTTCACTGCGTCGGTGTCCTGCAAGGTGTGGACGGGGCACGCGGATCCGCTCAAGGTTCCCCAGTCGGAACCAGGGGACAGGAAGCCCACTTCACTGAACCTCATCACTCTCCATTGGTCGGAGAGGCCCTCACAGATGAGTGACAGGGACTCGGAGGAGAAGTGTTGCGCTCTGTCGGGATTCACCGTGAGAGACGCTGTCGAGTCAAAATCTGAAAGAAAATAAGACGGGATCCCTTGAACCAAGCGTGGAGATATTTCACAATGAGGACAATGAAAATAAGCCCAGAATGATGTGAGCGGAAACCAAATTATGATTTAATGTTGAGTTGTCTTTTTATGCAGAGTAAGTAAAAAGGAGAAAATGCACCGACCTGCAGCCCAGATAAACCTGGACTCACTAAGGAAAGTGTAATACGCTGGATCTCCTCTCCAAGCTCTGCACAAATATCCCGTTGTGTTCGCTGGTCCGTGGATAACGTAGGAATCCAAAGTGGTCCCGAGGGGGTTGTCAGGTAGCTGCCTCGGGCTGTAGAGCCTCTCTGATACCTGAGGAACGGCCCCATACCAGACGAAGCTCCACCCTGCGGACGGATGCTCAGAGTCCCCGAGACGCCGGAGACACCGTGAGGACAGGCTTGGGTCTCCCTGCTGGGAAGGATTCACTATTACGAGGTGGGGTTTTTCTCCTGGAAATTCTATACAAGTATATTTTTATTATTACTTATAGAACGTA